TATATATATATATATATATATATATATATATATATATATATATATATTAGTGTGTGTGTGTGTGTGTGTGTGTGTGTATATGTGCGTATATATATGTATAACAGTTGAACAGAACAGTTAAGTGATTTCTCCTTGGATCTTTCTTCTTTTTTATTTAATTCAATGTCTTTTGTGTCCTTTTGATTCCTCTGTTTGGAGGACCATTCTGGCCTCACCGTGTTATGTTGTTTCCACAGAAACCAGCTGTAGTTTGGTTCCACATGGTTGAATGTGGTCTCTGAGGACAATCCAAGAAGTACTTGGGATTCTTTTCCTTCCTCTATCATAATTTTACAGACTTCTTTTTTTTTTCCTCTGTGGTTGTCAGATCTGCAGCTGAGTCCTCAGAACGCCAAACTGTGAAGCTTGACTGACACTCTGCCAGGTATGATGTGTTTATTGCACTTAAAGTTTTAACTTTGTTTTATTTTCTTATCACACAAACTTACAAGAAGAAAAATTTTTTTTACAGAACAATTGTGGTTTTGACATTTTTTGCTGCTACATTGTGTTTAAATAAGATTAACTTAAACATAAAATCAGTAGACTTTGCACAAAGTTGGTTGTGTTAACCTTTTTAAAGCTGCATAGTTTATAGCTGAAACTGTTAGCACTTAAGTTGTAAAACTTTATTTTTGCATTGCAGACATGGATGTTTTGTTCTCCTGTTTTCTTTTTAAATAATGATTGAGTCCACATCTTTGAGTTTTGTGGGGACATTTACTCCAAGCCATGCAGATAAAATATCTTCAAATGAAACTACGTACCCAGATGTGTGCAGCTGCTAACTGAAATTCTTTATATTTATTTAGTTTACGCTGGTCCAGTGGATCAGTGAAGATGCATGTGTTGCTGAGCTTACTCTTGATCATTGTTTCCTCTTTGTAATCCTTTCAAAGTAAACTCAAGTTACAGAAACAGTATATTTAATTGTAATGCAAAAGTAACAGCTTTTATTTATAAAAAAAAAAATAAATCCCCAACTTCTCAAGATTTGTATCAAATTCAACGAGGACCCTCATCAGTATGCATACCGCGAGAACCGATCAACAGAGGATGCCATCTCTTCTGTGGTCCACACTGCTCTCACCCACCTAGAGCAGAAGGACTCCTACGTCCATATGCTCTTTGTGGATTTAACATTTGCCTTCAACACCATGATCCCCCAAACCCTGATGGACAAACTATTCACATTAGGACTAAGCCCCTCCATTTGCAACTGGGTACTAGACTTCTTAACAAACAGACCACATTCAGTGAGGATCCACAACTTCTCCTCCTCCACCATAACCCTCAGCACTGGCTCTCCTCAGGGATGTGTGTTGAGCCCCCTCCTGTTCACTCTGCTCACGTATGATTGTGCAGCTACCCATCCAGGCTGTCACATTGTAAAGTTTGCAGATGATACAGCGGTGGTGGGATGCATCACAAACAACGATGAGTTCAGCTACAGGCAGGAGGTGAAACACCTGGAGAGCTGGTGCAAAGAGAATAACCTTCACAACAATGTGAAGAAGACAAAGGAGATGATTGTGGACTTCAGAAGGAACAAACATACCTACACCCCCCTGAATAGAAGAGGATCTGCGGTGGAAGTGGTCTCCAGCTACAAGTACTTGGGTGTGCACATGAATGACCTCAGCTGGGGCAACAACACCACCAGCCTGATCAAGAAAGCTCATCAGAGACTCTACTTCCTCAGGCGGCTGAGACGAGCTGGTCTGGGAAGCTCAGTCCTCACCTCCTTCTACAGGTGTGCAGTGGAGAGCATCCTATGCTCCAGCATCAACGTGTGGCATGAAGGCTGCACAGCTACAGAAAGAAAAGCTTTGCAGAGAGTGGTGAAGGCTGCACAGAAGATGTTGGAGTCAGTCTCCCCACCATCACAGACATCTACACCTCCAGATGCAGGAAGAGAGCCACCTGCATCATGAAGGACCCCACTCACCCAGCACATTTTGCCCCGCTCCCCTTAGGAAGGAGGTTGAGGAGCATTAAGTGTAGAACCACTAGACTGAGGAACAGCTTCTACCCTGAGGCTGTTAGACTCATCAATCTCTAATCAGAATAATCACTTAAAAATCACATCATGTTGCTGCTGATCTGTTTCATGTTGCTGTGTTCATGTGTACTCATCTGCTCACACAGACTCATGTTCGTGCTGCTGTTTGACATATTGATTTTATGCTTTTAGTACTTAGTGTATATTTAGTTGATGTTTTTCTTAGTTCATATCTTAGATCTTATTACTGTTTTTCTTTTACATTTTATTGTTGGATGTAACTGAGACCCTGTGTACATAATCTCGTTCCAACACATGAGATGTGAAATACAAATAAATCTCTCTGATCCTGACTGATATTCCAGAACATGCCAGTAACTGAGTTGGATTAAAAAGTACTTTTCTGCTTTTGCAATTTTGTGCCTTTTTCCTGATCTGAGCTGACAGTGAAACTTTTTCAACGCATTTTCTTTGTAATTTTTGTAAACATGTTTTTCTTTTGATGTTAACTATGCCACATTTACAGTAGGTGTTTGTCTGAACCTTCAGGGCTCAAAGCCACACATCTTAAATGCAGGTGCAGATTTAAACTAATTGATCTCTGATGCTGTTTTAGGTTCCCCGTCTTGTGCTGCGATGATGTCAGTGGATGTAACAAACCATAACGGCCCCGCTGCCACGCCTCCCACCTCTCTCAGCCTTCGCTCCTCACACAACCAGCTCCTCAGCAGCGACATCGTCAACCAAGGCTCTGCCACGCCCCCCAAGTGTCGTAAAAAGTATGCGCTAACAAGCATCCAGTCTGCCATGGGCCTCGGAGAAGTGGCGCCACCGACATCCTCACCATCACTATCCCCATCTCAGTCTTCCACCCCCAATAATCCCAAGCTGGCCAAAAACGGGGTTAACCAGCTTCGTAAAGCTGGTCAGGACCACAACAAAAACACAACTAGACCCGACTCAGCGGACCTCGAGTGTAATTCAGAGATGGATGATCTTAATGTCAACACAGCAGAAGAACACGACAGACACTCTCTGACCAACAATGACCGAGAGGAAGAAGTGAATGTGCAGGCAGAAGCCAGCAGTGATTCAGAGTCCGATCAGAAAACCGAATCAGATGTGGACTGTACCGCGGAGCTCAAACTGAACTGCAGCTTGGCAGATATGGACTTGGACTTGAACACCGAGACGGAGACTGATGACATCAGCATTCTGTCTGAAAAAGAAATAATGTCCAAGATGAAGACTGAGGATGAGGAGGTGGTAGATGAGGACCCAGAAGAGGAGGAAAAGAAACCTCTGCTGATGCTAAAAAGTGAGTCTCCTGTGCAGGTCCACAAAGTTCCCTCTGCCATCGAACTCGTCTCTGATCTGGACTCCAACCTAAAGCTCCTCCAGTCAGGCAGGAACCCTGTGGCGCCTCCCCCTCTTCCCCCCCCACAACAAGTCAGCCCAGAGGTCACTCCCCTGCTCTCCGTTGCCTCCTGCCCCTCCTCTTCCTCATCCTCTCCAGAGACGAAGAAGGACAGAAGGACTGGAGCGAAGACAGACTGCGCTTTGAACCGCATCCAGAACCTGAACCCCAGCGATGAAGAGTTGAGCTGGACCACTCTGTCCCAGGAGAGCAACTCACCTGAAGAGACAGGTACACAAATCTGCCACTCTAACCGCTCGTTGCTGTAAACTTTAGAGCTTTTGTTATTGACGGCTGTTTGGCATCCTTGTACCAAAATGTAGGCCTCTTTGTTTTTGTGCTGTTAGTGGTTTCACCATCCTCACAGCTGATGACATGCTTCTATTTAGAGCCACTCTGTGTGTTTGTGTGTGTGTGTGTGTGTGTGTCCTTGTTTATGCTACTTTGTGAGGCCCATTTTTCCAACTTATGCTACATTGTGAGGACCAACTGCTCCTTATGGGGCCCAAAGCCCGGGCCCCATAAGAAGAAGTCCCGTTGGTGGGTTAGGGGCTAGGTTTAGGACTAAGGTGTGAATTGAGGATGTGTTAGGTTTAGGGTTAGGTATGTACTGGTAATAGTTAGGTTATGGATAAAGGTCATGGTTAGGCTATAGAAATGAATGAAAAATAAATGGAAGTCAATGCAAAGGCCCCACAAAGATAGCAAAACAAACCTGTGTGTGTGTGTGTGTGTGTGTGTGTGTGTGTGTGTGTGTGTGTGT